TCAGTGACCATTACACACTTGACCTACTTTTATTTTTTTTCATTTTAATTTAATATATTTCTTTACATACATGCCAATAGGATGTGGCTAACATATTTTGTCTTCAGTTTGTTAGCATGTAACAAATGGACAGAATTTTTTGTCATATAACTTTTAGTAAAGGATGGAATTGTTGGTATAAAATGAAACTGTAACTGGCAATGCAAAATCTATCTATCTATCTATCTATCTATCTATAGATAGATAGATATACCTAGTGAGCCAGACAAACCTGTTTCACCTAAACAGATAAATATAAAAGAACGAAGAATAAAATTTCAATGTTCAAAACATTAATTTAAAACAAGGCTCAATACAAAAATAGAGCAATAAATATTTATTATACACTGTTATGTTCTAATATAATATATATATATATATATATATATATATATATATATATATATATATATATATATATAAATAAAAGAAAAGAACAGTAAGATATATAATCCGTGTTCTTATAGATATTTTATTTTTTACAAAATAGTGCTCAATGTAAATTTACAGAGCATTTATATTATAAATTAATTGATTTAAAATATTTTTTTTTTTTTTGCTACACAGTTCTAACCATGTTTCAAAAATGGAAGCTGAAAGCTCCGAATTTAATTTTGTAATTAAATTAAAGACATTAGTTCCATTTCATCCTCAAGCGAATATATGTATATATGTCTTTTGACTATCAGTTTACCTAATAATTTTTACACACTTGCTTTCTCAAATTTTTAATAATTTGATTTTTCAATTTTTTTGTAAATAATTGATTGGGCACTTTGAATTATTTCACCTTGAGTTAAAAATAAAACATGACCATAAAATGGCCTCATAAAATTAAAAGATTAATTGAAATGTGATTTGTTTCTATGATTCTTTCATCAGAAAAATCTGTTTTCATGGATTTTATCTCTGATTAACAATGAAGGTATCAGTTCTCAACAAAAGACAAATTTCAATCTTGATCTTAAGATATTAAGTGTTCATAAAAAGTACTATTCCACATTAAAGAAAATCTCAGTAAACACTGACAAAAAGTAATACTTATTTCTTTGAAGCTTGTAGCCATAAGCAATCCTTATTATAAATTCAGTTTTAAACTGAGTTATGATAAGAAATTAATGGTAAATTAAAAAAAAAAGACAGTGTTAAAAGAGCTGTAACATTGAGTACTTAAACTAAAAATTCTTAGATTTAGAGTTAATTAATAGGAAGGTCAATTAATATTATAATTAAATTCTAGATACAAATTCTTTTATTTTCACCACCTTTTCCTCTTTATGCTTTGCCTTCATTCACCAAATATGTGTCACTGATATTTTGGGGATTGTAGGAAGGTATACTGAAAAATTTTTGGCCTAAGTAGGGACTCAAAAAAAATACTTGATCTTTCGCCATTTGGTCAGATTTTGTGAAGTGGGTCAGGCTAAAATATTTTCAGCACCCTCTTGTAAAAAAATAAAAATGGCAATGAATGTTCTCTAATTTGGAATGCTTGGCATTTCTTTTCTGTTCTTTTAATGTTCCTTTCTCTCTTTCTCTTTTTTTCCTTCTCTCTTCATATGTTTTTTTTTTCAATTCTGTTTTCTTCTTTCTCTCTGATTTCCAATCTGCATCTTTTATGCTTATTTCCTAATTATCATCTCCATTTTCTCTCACTTCCAGTATTTCTTTTTAAAATTATTATCATTTTTCCATCTCTCTTGTCTCTCCTTCATTTTTTTTCTATTTTTGCTTCTTTTTCTTTTACTCATTAGTTATCATTCAACAGGTAAGTATCTCTCCATCCTACTATCCCACAATCACTTTCTGCTTTCCAGGTGTTACCTATCTATTATGCTCTACTTTATGCCACTCTGTATCTTTGTATTTACTTTCTTACTACTTTTCTTCCCCATTGAGCTGTTCGACATCTTACCTACCTCCTAGACAATGTTCCATGCCAGTCTTCAGATACCTTGTTTCAATCCATTTTTGTAAACATGTACACAGTTTTGTGATTCAATCTTGCAAACCATTTCTATTACTTTCTTCAATCAGAGATGAATCTCTGGTTTAGAATTTAAAAAAAAAAAGAAATAGATGAATTTCCTTCTTTCTTTATGTGTATTTATTGATTACATATTTATAAATGAGTGACAATATATGTGCACTTTATATTTTTACACTTGCCAAAAAGATTCTTGAAATACCAAGTCTCTGCTGAAATATGTATGATTCAAGCATGATCAGAATGTCAAATGTAAGAAATTCTATGAAAATAAGAAATTTATTTTAATCCTTTCATCCCAAGGTGATGAAGCCACTAAGATGCAAGAGGTTATTGAAAGTGAAAGGAACTGAGAATTCATTATTGAGTATAAATAACAATAAAAGAACAGGACTCAAAAGCTAATCAGAAGAGTCACCATAAAAATATTTATAAAAAAGGCACAGGGAAGCAATGTTATGGTGGTGGGAAAATGATTGAAGTTGAGATACCAATGCAGATTCTTCTTTGGATTTTGTCAAGAATCTCTAAATACCTAGGAAAGACCAATGTGGCTACAATATTAAATGCATGAATGAATTGTAGACTTATAAAGGTGCAAAATAAATTCTGACAAGAAAAATTGTTCAGTACAATATAGTGAACCAACTTTTTTAGCAAATTTATACATGTGCATTCTGCTCACACAAATCTACATTTGTAAAAAAAACAATTGATCATAAGTGTGATGTTCTGTATAGATAAAAGGTATTTGTGATTTTATCAGAAAAATATCACCCTTTTGTTTCCTTGCAGCATGATTAGACCAGTTTAGTTAATTGATAATGTACAAGGCAAAAGGAAAATCAAGTTTCTACCTTTTGCAGGAAATGACATTAGTGTTTGAAACCACTTTTCTGTTGAATTTTATCATATCTGTTCAAATTGCATTTAGAATATAACTGATACGTCATTCAATGTCAGAGCCATTAAATCTTGTCAAAGATTAGTGTATCTTTAAATCTCATTCATATTTACTTATATTTACAAGATTTTAACAAAACAGGGTCCGTTTTAGCTATTGGCTACACTTTGAATTATTTTGCAACTATGGTGATGATACAATAACAGTTGTATGTGTGTTTGTTCATTTTCTTACTTTTCAAAGGTTAGTGTAATAATGTATTGGTCTTTCTTATGGTTGCTGCTAGGATCTGTCTTTCCTGTATCTTGCACCTTTCTTCTTCTGTGTGGAAATGCCTAAAGTGCATCCCACAAATCTATATATAGAATTCAACCTGCTGGCTTGTTACCAATGATGTATTGATATGATTTGACTATTAATTTACATTTTCTGAAACACTTCTTTGTTTTGGGAATCACATGGTGAACTAGCTACTTGACTGAACCTTGATAACCTACTTGCCCCAAATATTCTTCCTATAAGACTATTGGTGAATATGTCTTTATGTAAGCAAACCACACAACCCATTGATCAGATTTGGCTCATGTTTTTGAAAAGGCTCTTTCTCTGAAGTTATTCTACTTTAGGAACTACACCAATCTGATAGATAGATATTTAAATAAACAAGTTACTCTCAGGTTTTACAAGATTATTTCATATTTTGGCCAATCTAGTAATTTTATTTCTTCTCATTTCCATCAATTTAATTCCAATAAGCATTAAACACAAACCTTTTTTCATATTTTTCCCAGTTCTGTAACATAAAAACAAGCCTTTTTACATTGTTGACCACAGCCAAACATCTTTGGGGTCCTATTTGCTTTGCATGAGTGGGTTACCACCTATCTTGTCACAAGATTTATAATTCCAAATAAGAAAACAAATGTAAGATAATTTTGACTTATTGAAAGTTTTTAAACTGATGGTTAGTTCAAGCTCTGCTACAGCAAAAAACCAATGGAATTCTGTACATCAAAAATCAGATCATTTGGTATTTGGGTGCATTCCCTTTTCAGTGGCCACTTTCATTTCATTGATTGTTGTTGATTTTTTGTGATCTACATTTTCTTTGTTGTGTTGCCATAAAAAATTTCTTTAGTATGTTGAACACAAAACAGGGATATTTGGTGCTATCTCTTTGCTCAATCCACTTTTTCAGCAAATTTTCATAAAGATGTGAGTGCTTTCACATTTTCATTAAGAGTGTAGTCTAATGTAATAAATTTTTCCAGTGAGCATGCTTCAAAATGCAGTAAACATGTATTTTGAAATGCCAATCTCACAATTTCTTGATAAACAGATTTTCTTGGAGATTTCTGGTGTTTTTTTTTTTTTCTCTTACTGATATTTGTGATCTTCTGGGATGATGCTTGTTGATATCTTACATGTTTGTTTCTGCTTCAAACTTATCTCTAATGTAAGCAATGGATAAATTTCCTTTCTGCAAAGCATAAGTTAGTTTCAACTATTATTTTAAATTGGTAACACCTAGAAAATAAATACTTTGTAGTTTTGGACAGTAAAATTTGTATAAATGCTTTGGAAAACTCACATCTCTCTCTCTCTCTCTCTCTATATATATATATATATATATATATATATATATATATATATATATATATATACTGTTGAATAGTTCTTTGGCTAGCCCATTTTCTTAAACCAGTATTCTAATTTTTTTATTACTGAAATAAAATAATGAGGTTAACTTTTCAACACCTCATCTACTACCCAGGTATATAATTTCTTCCCATATCCATCTAGAATGAAACTGCTACCAATATCATTAAATATTCCATTAATTAAATTTAATTTGCTTTGTGCAGAAACCATCTCTTTAGTGTACAGAATCTATTACATCAGATTTGTTCAACTCAAAAAAAATATTTGCAAAAAAACAAAAAAAAAAGTATCAGAACTATATGAATAAAAATTTGTTTGTAATTTAGATTTTTAAAAAGTCTTCTGATTCACATGCAAATATTCATGGACTATTATGTATTATTTTCTTTTCTGTTTTATAATTTTCAGGCAGTTGAAGAAGAGTTAAAACGAAGACAAAGAGATGTGGATAGTTTGAATAAAATTGGTGGAGAGCTAAAGGACAAGGAAGCTTTGGAACTTGTTGAACCTGAATTGCTGAAATTGAACAAGCGATGGCATGATATCCGTTCACAGAGTCTGCTGTACCGCCATCCTATAGACTCAACTGCTGTAGTTGCAGCAACATCATCAGAGAGTCTGATCTCCAGGACTACAGCATCTGTGGTTTCCAGTGGTATTTCGAAAAGTGCTACAGGTGTTAAAACTCCTTCCCAATATATTGATGAGGTGAAGGGGGTACTTACTGATATTTTGAAGGTTCAACAACTATTACATTCCCAGGAACTCACAGGAAGAGATTTTGAGGATTTTTCGAAACAAGAGGATAAGCTAAAGGTAAACTATTTTGTTTTCTTGTTTTGGAATTATTAAAATGCTGATGTTCTTCTGAAATTATTATTTCAAAAACTTCTGAATTTACTGTAATTTCTAAAGTTTGTATGTTTTCAGTAGAATTGGAGCCAAAAAAGTTAGTCATATATCTTTGGCTCTGCCAGACAGTTACACATCAAGGGGCCCTTGATTTACATCGGAGAGAGATCCATTCCTATGGCATAATGTAACCTGAGTAGGTCGGAACTCAGCTACATAAGCACCCACGAGTCTGCCTTATGCTTGGGAGCCATAATGAAAGGCAAAAAGTTCCCAAAAAATGACACAAACAAGAGCGAATGTAGCACAGTCCAATATGGTGAAGAAAAAATGCTGTTTTCCTCATATAGTGCTGCATGATGACATATTATAGATGGCACTGCAACCAGGAAATGCTGTACATCTGCTCTGGTGTAACCTGAGGACCTTCTGTATACATTGTGTATCAATTTAGTTAGTACTTGTACACTAACATGTTTGCTTTTCATTTTTTCTTCTTAGATTGTTGGAGCTGATATTTTCCATAAATTGAAAACCATCTGTTTTAGATTTTGAAAGATGATTTAATAACACTAAAATTACACAATAGTCTGGAACAAATATATTTATGATATGTATTCAAGTATATATAAAATGAATCTTTCAATATTTTACTGGGAATATGTCTGCTACTTTTGTATCAATTAATATTATATAAATATTGACTTTCTTTTTTTCAAATGATTGCAAAGACATCAAGCTTTCAACTAGATATAAATGGGTAGTCTAAATTATTTTTCAAGTATTTTTTAAAAATAAATATTTCTCAGTACACAGTTAAATCAACTCTTTTTGTACAATTGGCTTTTTTACTGTCTTTATAGGCCTTTTTGAAAACTATTTGTATTCTGTCTTTATTTACTAAATCGCTTTGCTGATAAACTCCAAACAATCTTGTTAAATTCTATACTGGCAATAAATCTTATGCTTTGACTAAATACTTTCAACTTTGGCTAAGTTCTCTTTAATTATCTTTCTTGCTTATCTCTTTCTATTTAACTATTTCCACCTTTGTTAATCACACACACTAAAAACAATTGTGTTAATTTTCATTTATGCAACAATCTTATTTATAAAGAATTACATAGATTTGCTTTCAATTTCTCATGAAACTGTGATATTCTCAATTGCAAAATATTTAATATATATATATATATATATATATATATATATATATATATATCTACAAATTTAGAAATATATAATAAACCTTACATTCTGAATCCTTCCCTTTTGTCTATAAACATGAAAAAAAATTTTTTTTTTCTTATTTGAATAACTGAGAAAATTCAAATATGCATTATTTTACTCCTTATAAAATTCCTTGTTGATTTTTGCATATATGAGTTTTATTTTTCATATAATTATTCCAGAACTAATTTTCTTTTAATAAAAAATTATGTTCAATTGCTTTAACAGGTTTTAACCAGATAAACACAGAACTACAAGACTGTTTAATCATATTCTATATTATTTCTTTTACATTCTTTAACATTTTATATTTACAGTTTGACTAAACATAAGAAAATCCACAAATATGTATGTGTGTGTTTGTATGTATGTATGTATGTATGTATCTATAAATATATATATATATATATATATATATATATATATATATATATATATATAATATTTTCTTTTCTGGTGTCAAGAATGAAAATAACTAAAATTGTTGAAATGAAAGCCCATTACTGATCATAAAATAAATACTGCCACATATTCTCTCATCACTTCCATTTACTGTAGTTTATACTATAATATTACGAGGAATGGTGTAAATATTTGTTTTGGATTCATTTCTTTTTAATACCTAGAATATATTTGGCAGATTGTATGTACTTGAATTGCTCTTTGTCTTTAATTATTTTGTTTCATTTCTCAGTGTAAGGTCTAATAAATTTATATTTAGTTATATTACTATATGACTAAATAATCTATGTAAACAAAATTATTGCTCTTGTACCTTAGCTTAATCCTGTTGAAAGTTCTACATCCTTTAGGGAAAAAATTGTTAACTGGCAATTTTTAAAAATTATAAACAATATGTCATTTTTTTAAAAATATCAACACTTATGTGAGTCATTTTACCTGTACAAAATTAGTTTTTGATTAATGATTATGTAATTTCTTAATATAAACCATACTTCAGGTGAGGGCTTAATTTCAAACACTGTATCTTGCTTATGCTTTCTCATAATCCCATGAATCTAATTTCCTTTACATTGTGTGTTAATAGCTAAAGGAGTTTTGTTTGCACAATTTGATGCTAGTCAAACAGAAAAAAAACATTGACCAGGTTAAAAATTTGCATTTTTTTCAATTAAGATTGATTGAAAAATAACAAGTTCTTTTAATCTTTTCAGTTTATCAAATAAAATCAAAAATATACTGGAAAAAAATTTTGAATCCTAAAATATCCCATTTTTTGTTTTATCAAAAAATGATAATCTCTCTTATCTTACATTTGGTAAAGCTGATATCAGAAATAGCAAATAATTGTTCTTTTGTTGTTGTATCTAAACCTTCAAATCTGCAGGCTCAAATCAAAAGCAGCTCTGATGATATTTTTAATGTGAACAGGGTTACTTTTATATCTCCTTTTGTATTAATATTGGTTTAGTATTTTCCAAACATTTGACAAACATTAAATTTTATTTAAGATCTTTAAACAGCTTTTTTTTTTTAATCCTCTGTGAAATGAGATGCTAGGCATTAATGGATTATAGGTAGCAAACTATAATTAATACCAGGTTTTTATTTTTATTTTTCTGATTAATACTGGATTTTAGAATGGTCATTAATGGATTAATGCTATCAATTTACTTGACAGCAAAGAAATAAAAGACGGTATCCAAACAAAATTTGTTTATACTCACATTCAAGAATCAAAGAATCAATATCTTTACCTGATGACCCGTGATATATTCATAAGAAATTATGAAAACAACTTCAGTATAAATATTTTTAATGATGTATAATCTATATGCTAGCTATTGTTGAAAACTTGAAGATTTCAAATATTTTGTAAAATGATATTTAAGTTAAATATCTGTTTATTTATATTTTACTTTGAATGTTTTAATCTATCACATATCTTTCAGTGAAATCATTTTCAAAATTTCATATATTAACTAAAAGTTAATATATGAAATTTTGAAAATGATATTCATTTGTATTTTCTACAAAAGTGCATTTGTGTAGTTAGTAAGCAAAGTTAATTTATTTTGGAGAGTAAAAGTATTAGTTTCGTTAATATAGTTGTATTGGAACTCTTTTTTTTTCTTTTTTCTTCTGTTATTGGCCATAAAATAAATTGTGTTACATATTCCCTCACTTCAATTTACTGTAGTTTATTCTATACAGAAGTATTAGTAGGGACAGTGTAAATGTTTGTTTTTTCATCCAATTGAGATGTATCCTAAACATGTACATGGACCCAGTCTTTTTGCTTGGGCCTACACAATTGCATCCCAGCAGCATTACTGAAGTTTTACTGGCAGATGTAGATGTGATGCTTCCCACAATCTTTTACCTGTTGGGTGGTAAGAATCATCAGTGCAGAAACAAAGAATAAAAAGGGAAAAAAAATAGAACAAATCTTAAACACTTTTGGAATGATTCCAAGATGAATTCCCTCCTTTCTCTCCTATATATTGTTATCTCTATTTTTCTCTTACATAATTCCCCCCTCTCTCTCTCTCTCTCTCTTTATACTTTCACTTTTTCTTAATTATTTTCTCTATTCTCACCAACTCATTTCTTTTTATCATTTTCTTTTTCATTCTCTATTTTCAGTCTCACTCTCTCATACTTTTCCTCCTCTTTTCCTCTCTCTAACCACAGGTGCCATTTTTAGACCAATCATGTCAAGTACTAAAAACAGGTAATCATTGAATCATGTTGCCATTCTCACCCCACTTCCTTTATCAGGAGTTCTGGTGTCTTGGACACTTTGACAGATGCCAGATGTTACATTTCTTTACTTACTCTTTGGGCACCACTCCAGACATTAGTCACAAAGATATATTGATAAACTCTAAAAGATGACAATTTTGGTGATGCTAAAGTTAGAATCCCTTTCTGACATTACTTTTTCCTATCATTTCAACAAATATCAAAAAATTGGTTACATTATTAAGTGGGAGGAATCTTGTATGCAAATACTTTGCATTTGTATAAAAGAAATTTTGACATTCAATTTTTTAAATACATTAATTGAGATTTAAATACAATTTATAAATCAGATATGGAATTATTTGATTCAGTACTTTTTCAAATTATTATAATATGCACTTTTGTAGACCTGCCACCTGAACATTTCTTAATAAGAAATTATAAAAAATAAGCATAAAAACATTCACTGTCTTTTTTTCTGTTAAAAAAGTAGATTAATGAACTATATATTTAATTTTTTTTTTTTGATGCAGCTTCTTTAATATGTCATAGGATAAAGCAACCAGTTCTGTTTCTTGTATGATAACATCAATTGTTTTAAAAAAAATATGATTCTAACAATTTTGTACATGTTTTTAACATTTTATAATGTTAAATTTTGTACTTATAAAATAACTACTCCGGTACTGATCACAAGCTTAATTGTTGCTGTTGTGGAAATGGTGAAGTTGAATGTAACAGAACAATTAAAAACAATCAAGTTATTGTTCCGCATCAAAAGAAATACCAAGTGGGCTTGCAAATTCTTCAATATAAAAGAGAACACCAACTTGAGAAAAGGAGTCATCTTCATCAATGGTAAAGGCAAATCAAATTCAGTGGAGAGGATAAATAAAGCTTTGGTGTTTTAAATTCTATTTAATTTCCCTAAAAGAATGATAGACAAGCAGTTCAACCCCAAATTGATTCATGAATTTGATGCTTTAACAACTGGCCAATCCAAATGGATTAAAAATATATAACTTGTG